TGTTCTATGCATGCAACCCGCCCGCACGGCCCCATCCGGGACTGCATGCCCATCAGGGGCCACTGGCACTGGCAACGCCCCCTCCGCCATTATTATAGGACTCGGAAGGAGCCTTGGTGCGGTATGCTATTAAGCGGGGGGGGGGGAGGGGGTACAGAGTCCCTCCGCGAATTCGCGAACCAGGGCCGTCCGCCGAGCCGCGAGGATAGACCTCACGTCCAATAAAAATGGCAGCGAGGAAGGTTTTACCGCTGCCACCAAGAGCCAGTCTCCGTCCTCTACAGAGAGTGCAGGGTATTTGTTCGAAATATGTGCTGTAACATTATACCGCGCCTCCAGAATAGCGGCACCGGCGTGAAACTGCTAGCCTGGTATATTTAACGAAACTCACGTTTTTATGGCTTGGACGTATTCTGAGTTCTCATCCAACTGGGCGTTCATTGGAGTCCCCATTGCAGTCTCTGTTCCAAGTGAAATTAAAGTAAAATAATTAGTGTGCAGTAGTGTTCTCGAGTGGCAAAAAGAAGACTTGTACCGGGTGTCCAGACCAAGACATGCTAGTACTTACGTTGGGTTGCCTACGTACTGCCTGCAGCCCCTGCAGTCAGTGCATAGGCAACCCAACGTACTGGCATGTCTTAGCCTGGTCACCCGGTAACAAATCAGAAAACAAAGTAGCCTTACCGCAGATGACGTCCAGGGCGTGTCGCGAAATGTACGGTCGGACGTCGACAGCACCCCTTCCGACTAATTCCCCTAACTTGGCCTCCAGGATGCTGCCCTTCTGGTTGAACACGTCAACAAATTGCTCCAGGATTCGGAAGTGAAAGGTTGGCGTGAGGAGTTTCCTTCGGGAATGCCACTTCTTGCCTGCGACCATATAGACACGAAATGAGACGTTTAGGGTGTGTCCCCCCCCTCCCCCCATACTTGCGTGTGAGTGTACCGGGTTTATACACGCCGCATGGGGCTATGCCTGGCGCCTTACAGGGTGGGAGTGGCAAACCCGCTCGCACTGGGCGCGTGTACCCGGTAGATTAGGGGACTCACCGCTCGACAGGAGCAGTCCATCGCCAAGCCATGGAGCGAGCAGGGCGTAGTTGGTGCCCTTGTCGATGAGGGCGGTACTGGTGGCGATGGCCTGCGGAAAGAGTTCAGGGTGATGTTCTTCGTAGATCTCCTTCTGGTGCCCTGCTTTTTTCGACTAGTTCACCTCTATGTCCCTGGGGTCGGAGGTGATGACAACCAGCTTGTGGCCCAGCCACATGCTGTACACGTTCCCGTAGCGCTGGTGGTATCCTTGGATCCACTCAGTGCC